GAGGAGTACATTTGTCCAACACCATGAGATGCTACAAAACCAAAATATTAACCTGAGAACTTGAGTAATGTTCTTAAATATCCTCATTAGATCCAGACTCTCATGTGGATGTCATACATGACATTCAGCCCATTTAGAACCATGTAAACTATCAGCAATATGTAACCATCAGATAAATGATTGAAAATGGCCTCAAATGAATAAATTCTTTAGGTATTAAAGAAGACAGTACTTCATCAGACTGTACAGAATGGTTTCACAAAATCACAGAAACATTACTAAGGAGCAAGAACAAAAGAAGAGTAATCAGGGGACAGTAGATAGTGATTAACAATGAATTTTGGAAGATTAAAGTTGGCTGAAAAGTAAGAAGCCAGAAAGGATCTCCACAAGTGAGAAGTATAAAACATCAGCAGAGAATTTATGGTTAGATCTAATCAACTCAAGTGTAAATTATTTGCCAGTATATATCTATCTATCTATCTATCTATCTATCTATCTATATATATATATATATATATATATATATATATATATATAATATAAAGGCACAAACACTAATATTCCATGGTTATAATTTATTACATTGGATATTGTAATCATGATCCAGTTCATCAGACCTACAAATTCAAATCTGATTTCCTTTTTGAATTTGTAGGTCTGATGAATTGGATCGTGATTACGATTCCAATGTAATAAATTATAACCATGGAATATTAGTGTTTCAACCATTTTATATTATATTCTTACTCTGTCCTGGACATTGAGTTCTACCTGGATTCTATCCTCTTGGGAATTTTATATATATATATATATATATATATATATATATATATATATATATATATGTATAAATATTAAAAAATACACATAATAACCTACATTGATTGTACAACTTGGAGTTTCATACTCCTGCAATCTTCAGGTACAGATTTTTTTGGTTAACACGTTTTATTAATATTTCTGGTTATTGCGAGATATTTTAATAATTATTATTGTTGTTAATTATTTAAATGAATTGTAGTTTAATTCTGGATTTCAATTTAGGCCTAGATTAACATTTAAGATTGAAAATCAAGTTTTAAATAGGAATTATAAATATTAATTAAAGAACAGATAGGAACAAATTTTTGGAATTCATGGAGTAAAATTTTAACCTATAAATTTAGCATATCTTAAAACTATATTTTTGTTATATATATATATATATATATATATATATATATAGATAGATAGATAGAGAGAGAGAGAGAGAGAAAGAGAGAGAAACTGATAGATATAGATATAAAAATATACTTATATATCTCTGTCCATCCCTGTAGAAAGAGAATACATGAGAGAAATTAGAGAGAGAGAGAGGAATAAATACAACACACACTTTCCCAGAAGTTAATATCGAGACATGTAGATTAATTATGTCCTGTGTACTTTATTTAATGAAATTGTCTAATGGGAGTTTTTCTCAGCTTCTAAAAATGATAAATTATTGCCTCCAGGACACAGTAAATTAGGTTATTACATTCACCCACATAATAACATTTAATAACTTCTGAATATAAAGTCAAATTTCTCCCTGAAAAATAAAGAGACATGACACATTAAGTCCACAAGTAGAATTATTTATTGAATTAAAAAAATATCTTAATATTTTATATATTTTCCCTTAAACTGCCCAACATTAGAAAATACTAGTAAAAAAAGCATGTAGTCTCTTCTCTCTCTATCTGCAATGTAAAGTTCAAAATCATCTATGAAGTCTTGTAGGTAATGAATTATTTTCTAGCTTACAACCACTTTCCTCCAAACAAAACTTTGCAAGTCCTTTGCTACTCCATCACTATTTCCATAGAAAATACTCTGATGAACTATATTCCATAATTTCTCCAGTTCAGACCTTTAAAGACCTGCCAAGCCATGCACAGAGACAAATCATATTCATTCCATATATAACATATACAGAAATTATATATATATATATATATATATATATATATATATATAATGATAAATTAAGAAAACCCTTAAAAACCATGACTGTTATAATTTATTTCATGAATATTGTTATATTCATCTCTTCAGACCAAATATTTTTAAGAAATGAAATCAATCCATCCAGACAGATACACCGAATCTTTTATAGACTCATATACAGGGTACGATGAATAAATTGCCATCTAAAATACACAAAAATAAAAATAAAACTGATATAATTTTACATATATTAATTGCTAGTATTAATAGCTAATACTAAATTGTTATCTGAATTATGCAAAAATGAAAATAACACTGACATCTCATTTTAACAGATATGTTTACAAAAATTACATAAAATATCTTGAAATACTAAAAAGTAAATTTATTCAATAAAATCACCACTGGCTTCAACCACAGCCTCCAAACAGCTTCAGAATCTCCTGCAACTCTTCTAGATAGTTTGCTTGTTTAAGCTGGTAAATGCTGTCATAATCCTTGTCTTCAGTTCATCTTTGGTATTACAAGGAGTTTTCTTGGTCTCTCACTCAACTGTGCCCCACACATAATAATCAAAGGGGATTGCAGTCTGGGGAGTTAGGTGGCCAGATTTAAGGGGTGATGTGGTCGCAGAAATTGTCTGACAGCCATGACTGGGTGCAGAGTCCTGCTGCCAGACATAGGGTTTTCCAGCAACCACTCTCTTGACCCAGGGCAGCACTACCTCCTCAAGGCACTTGATATAGGCTTCTGTGTTGAATCTGAGGCTCTTACCAACAAATTCAAGAGTTTTTTTCTTATCAGAATGATCAGAGTGAGTTTTATGAGCTGCTGTAACTTTGTAATCACCATTAGACTCATCCAACTCTTTCCAAATCCTCTGCACTGTCCTCAGACACCCAAACACTCTGAAATATTTGTATTAGAACTTCTGGTGTGAATGCCAAGCAGTACAGCATGCCGGTTCCAAATTTCAGGTGGAGTGAATTGCATCATAGTGCTCTTTTTCTCACAGATGGTACCCAACTAACCCTACTATACTGTATAACATTATTAGGGAGAGAGAACAATAAAAGAACAGGAAATAAGAAAATAGAAGATAATGATTGATATTGCATTTAAATTTTTTAAGATCAAACTTGACTGGAAAGTAAGAAGCCAGAAGAGAGTCCCACAGGCAAGAAGTGTGAGCAAAGAAACTGTTAGCAACAGTTACATCTAGCCATTTCACCTGTAAAATGATGAGACACTTGTTAGCAATCTAGTACTATGCTTAACTTCATAAAGTCTAGATACCATAGGGGAAAGTTCATCAGAACAATTACCATGAAAGTATTTCTAGAAAAGGCACAGGGAAGTTACATTAAAGTAGTGGGAAAGTGACTGAAACTGAGATGCCAGATCAAGACCAATAACATTGCAGATTCTTTTTTTGATTTTACCAAGGATCTCTAAATGTATAGCAGGATCAATGGACCATATATTGCAGCAATATTCAAGGCATGGACAAATTGTAAACTAATAGATATGTAAGCTAGATTTTGCCGAGAAAAAATATATATAATATAAATTAATAATATCATATTTATATTTTATATAATATTACTACTTCTGTTTCAATATCAGTGATCAAATATACATTAAATAAAGAGTGGAATCGGACACTTATTGAGGAATGGAGTATATTTTAAAAAACATAAAAGAACACTTAATATTGTTGCAGGAAAAGGAATCTTTCTGTTACTGCAGTAAAGAATATTCATATTACTGTAAAAATATTTTTCTTTTTTCAAAACCCCAGAAAATATTTTCCAATGCTAATGAGATTTTTTTCTTCTTTTTTCATTGGGGACAAAAAGAGTGCTGTACAAATGCTAAGCAAAGTATTAAGAAACAGGCAAAATTTGTTAGACATGAAGAAAATAATAGTGAGCTGCTACACAATATAAATCCTCCTATCTGGCAGCAAATGCTGAACAATCTCTTCACAGATGAAGAAGAGACTTTAGACCAGAGAAATGTGGTTCTACAGAAGGATGCTGACAATACAATAGACAGAATATGTAAGCAATGAAGAAGTTTTAAGGAAAATAAAAATAAAAAAGAAACTTGTACTTAGAATCAAATGGTTGAAATTTTTCAAGCACAAAGTAAGGAAAGAGGGATTGGAGAATTTTACACTCATAGAACCTATTAAAATCAAGTGGTACAGAGTGAAACAGTGAGTAACACATTTGATAAGCTTGTGTAAATGGATGGCGGGACAGAAAATAGTAAGGAGACAAACATTAATAAGAGCTACAGAGAATTGGAAGTTGTGGAAAGCCATGATTGCCAACATTCTGAAAGGATACAGCGTGTAAAAGAAGAGTGAGATTCTGGTAATAAGCATCATCAATCTTGTACCTAAATTAGAAATTCAAAATACTGTTTGCCATCTACTGAGCAAAATCTACAGAAATAGTTCAGTTTACGGAAGTAACTGTGCAGAAGACCTTCTCTATAATGTGGATAACGCCCTTCTCCTCCAACTGTCTCTAAAAAAAAAAAAAAAAAAAGTAAAAGAAACAACAGTAAAACTTAATTACAAGTGATTTTGGAGACTTATTTCTAACATGAAAAAAAGAAGCACAGAACAGAGTAAAAAAAGGTTTCATGCCTCTGATATAGATTTGTGATTGATACAGGGGTCAGGATTCTCTACAAGTTTGACCCCCACAAGTGACACTACAAATCATTTAAGGGCTGATGATTCCTTGACAAATTCTAATTTGGTAGGGGCCATCTGGGCAAATCAGACTTGTCATAGCTGCACAATAACTTGAGGCTAATAAGATTTGCTTGTCCAATGAGGCAGAATAATGACTCTATAAATATACATAAGTTGCATGAAGACTGCCCTCTTCTTTTTTGTTATCTGCCTTTTTCTCAATTTTTATAAATTTTTGTACATGGCTAACTATTTTATTTACAGCAAAAACTGTTATCATTATATGTCCAAGGATTTTTCTGCTTGAAAGAAGAAAAAGATGAATATAAGTTCATACGGACACCCGTCTTTCTATCTATCAGTTTCTGTTTATACTGATCTATCTATCTATCTATCTATCTATCTATCTATCTATCTATCTATCTATCTATCTATCTATCTGTCTGTCTGGATATGGAACTAGACAGCTATCTACATATTTATCTAGGAAGGAGTGCTGAAAATTTATTGGTGCAACAATACATTGTTTCAAAGCAAAATCTTATATTTGGCCAGTTTTTGAGAAAAGGGTATCTCCAACAAAGATCTATCTATCTATCTATCTATCTATCTATCTATCTATCTCAGTCTCTTTCATATCTATGTATTTATCTAAGATATCTGTCTATCTCAATTTGTTGCTATCTATCTTAATTTGTTCCTATCTATTTCAATCTGTTCATATGTATGTATGTATGAATGTATGTATGTATGTATGTATGTATGTATGAATGTATGTATGTATGTATGTATGTATGTATCTATCTATCTATCTATCTATGTCAGTCTCTTTCATATCTATGTATCTATCTAAGATATCTATCTCAATTTGTTGCTTGCTATCTTAGTTTGTTCCTATCTATCTATCTATTTCAATCTGTTCATATCTATCTATCTATCTATCTATCTATCTATCTATCTCTTTGTTTGTATCTATCTATCTATCTATCAATCTATCTCTATCTATCTATCTCACTTTGTTTACCTATCAATCTATCTCAGTTCATTATCTATCTATCTATCTATCTATCTATCTATCTATCTATCTAAATGTGTATGTAATTCATCCTCTTTCTGTGTCCATATTTGCTGGCTATATCCATATGATATTTTAGTCATTGAAAATAGGGCAGAAGATATGGAACATGACAGCTGAAAAAAGATGGCAAACTGAATACAAATTGATAATAAATAAATAAATGTATAAGTAAATGTTTGAATAAGAATAATAAGTAAAAAGCAAAATTTTTATTTGCAATCATTTCATGAAAATGGACACACAAATCCATATCTGAATAAATTTGCGTCCTTATGTATACATAGAAGGACACTCCAAAAGTAATGCCATCTATTTATTTCCATGGAAACTACAGCAGATACAGGGAATGCAGTAATGCCATTGGATAGAACAAGTTTTCAGCTTTAGCAAGAGAGACACTCAAGCTAGCGATGACCATCAGTCCACATATTGTGTTTATAAACATGGCTTCTCGCATACATCTTTATTGACAGTGCTGAAATGCATTGCCTACGAATTTGTTATGCTCACATCCATTGTTTGATCTCCATAAATTTTTAAGTATTATCTCAATCTTAGCAATGTAAGATATGCAGATGACACAGTGTGGATAGCAGATATGGAAAGGAAACAACAAGAACTCCTATAGAAGGAAAGCAATAAGAAAGGACTAAACCTCAAATGCAAGAAGACAAAATGGTTGTTAGCAAAAGGAATGACCCAACATGTTAATTACAAATCAGAGATATCAAAATATCTGGGAATTTTTTAACATAGAACAGAAAGTATGACACTGAAATCCAAAGGTACTTTGGGAGAACCAAGGGTGCATTCCAAAAGCTAAGCCGAGTATTATGAAACAGAAAGAGGCAGCAGAAATATGGTTCTACAGGAGGATGTTGAGGATAATATGGTCTGGACATGTGAACAATAAAAATGTTTTAGAGAAAAAAGGAAACTTATACATAACATCAGGAAGAGAGAGTTAAAATTTCTAGTGCACATAAAGACGAAAGGAGGGCTTAGAAAATCTGACAGGACAGATGGAAGGCAAGAGGGACAGAGAAAAACAACACATAACTTAACTTAGTGAGTTTGAGTAAATGAATGGTGGAACATGGTTTAGGAGAAATAACAGACAAAATTTATTAAGAGCTACAGAGGACAGGAAATTGTGGAGAGACATGATTGCCAATGACCTGAAGGGAAATAGCACGTAGAAAAAGAAGTATTGATGAATGTCAATAGGTGTAGTTTTTTATCCAACAGAGCAAAGAATATTGGTTACTGGTAGAAGGTTCAAACTATATCACCAATATCTGATGGTGATGTTGTGAACCAATATGATAAAATAGGTGGTATTACTTTGGGAGTGACCCATGTATGTATGTGAATATACATCATATATACTTGTGTAATGTGTGATCCCAGGTATCATGCAATCCCCAAATTATCACTTATAAAAAATGATTTTATCATCATGTGAGTTCCTTTTTTGAGAGACCAAATTACAATAGACTAACCTCTTTCCTTCTTTCTCTTTATCCCATCTTTTAGTTAAATAAGTTCAAAAAGTAAAAGGGAATGATAAAAGTGTTGTCACTTATGTTATACACATTGCATAAATGTGTACAGCCATAAAAAAAACAAACAAAAAACATCTAAACATCTTATAAATGTAAACAATGGAAAAGATGATTATTCACTATGTTTGTATTTATTATTCACTATGTTTGTATTTATACTAATATAGGAGGCATGGATAGTGGCTCGGATTGAGAAATCGGAGAGCTGAGTTTGAATTCCAGTCGAATCCATTATATTCACTTACGTGCTAATACCCTTGGGAAAGGTATGAATCCTCTTCTTCTTCCCACCCCAGCTATGGGTAAATAGGAGGACACACCAGGTTCTATAGCCTTGGATGGCAACTGGTCTACCACACAAAGAAATGGCAACCTGCTTCATCAATCATGTATCGAAAAATACATGATCACCTAAGTATGTATCATGCATGGCACATAACTGACTAATACGTGAATATTGCATGCATTATTATTGGATCATCATCATCATCATCCCCTTGACTTTTGTAATCATAGGGCAGATCCAAATGCAGAAGCCACACTAACTTTTTTCCACAACAGCAGCCATTAGCAATTCTGGTACAGTCATACCTGTCATATGACAGGTATTATTGGATACAGTTAAATAAAACATCAGTTTTATCAAAATCAGGTTTATTTTAAATACAGCTGTACTTTTTGACTACAGTAAATGGATATATAGTTTGATCAACAGTGTAGTATATACGCTAATTTTCTATCTGTGCATGATGCAACCTCCTTAAAATTAGGTCTTCAAACACCACATGGATATGCAAGTATATATGGTAAATACATACATGTAAACCTTATAGGTTAGTGACTGGCAATGAATTTATATATAGGTGATTATATATTATGCAAATTAAGCATTCATGTTGTGCTGTTTTGCTTTTCTAACTTGTAAATTTCACATTCTTATTTCCTTGTCTGTCCCTCGAAGTGCTGCTCTCCCAAGACGATATTTTCCCGATCACTACAGTCTTAACCTGTTCAAGCCTAGGCTTAACCATTATCTTCCCTACATATCTGTATAAACTCTTCCTCTGACTCTGTAAACCACTACCTTGCATGGCTCTTGGATCTTGTACATGGTGAACACTATATATATATATATATATATATATATATATATATATATATGTGCACAAGTATGCAGAAAAATAGGAAGGAACACGTCAGGTAAATAATCTGGAGTTCCTTAGTACTTTTGTTTTTATTTTTAAGAAGACAGTGCTCCATACGGAAGTAGAAGTAGCTTATATTATAATATTTTTTTAAAAATATAATTCCTTCGCTACATAAGAGTTCTCATGTTTCAAAAACGAGAGCCAAAACCATTAATATAATTATTAAGATTAAGTTGGATCAAGGTGTTGGGTCCCATTTCCTCTTGTGGTTTGTGTGTGTTTATAAGTATGGTCCATTGCAACATTAATTACTATGGAAACAACGTTGCAATGGACCATACTTATAAACACGCGCAAACCACAAGATAGCTTATTCCTAAATTTTCACTAGAGGATGAAACGGGATGCAACACCTTGATTCAACTTAATTTTAATAATTATATTGATGATTTCTGCTTTCGTTTTTGAAACTTGAGAACTATTATGTAGTAAAGGAATCATATTTTTAAAAAAATATTATAATATATATATATATATATATATATATATATATATATATATATATATATATATATATATAGTTTAAGCAAACTTAGGTAATCCGTATGGGTAGACCGAGGAGGATGATATCCAGAGAGCTCAATATAAAATTCAGAACAGATATGTTTGAATAAAAGACAGACCACGTTAAGATTCCATGTAATAAGTTATTTTACCATAACCCCTTTAACAGGGTTCTGGATCATCAGACTTTACTTCCAAAAGTCAAAATGAAAAATGAAAAGAAATTTACACGTTTTTGACGGACCTCATCAAGTATACGTAAAATTAACGAAGTGAGGAAGTGAGGTGGGAGAGAGGATATGAGTGTGTCATATGTATCATTCCAATTTCCTATTTTTAACCCCAGTGTGTCGGCTAGATGTTGCTCAAATTTAACGCGTCTCGTCTCTAGATATAGATGGCTAAGGGGTGAGGGAGAAGACCGACATTAAAGGAAGAAGCTACAACAACCCCAATCAATTACATTCCACAACAGGTTTCATTCAAATTCTTAGACGCTGTTAATTCGCGTTACTTTAACGGGCATATTTGGGAGGTTAAGGTTTGATAAATATCTAAATGTCTAAACAATCTACAAATAAATTAATTTGAAATTCAGTGGAGTTTTGGGTATTTTCTATGAAACAGTTGATTGGAAAAATTCATATACAGTACATTGAAAGAGTAATCCATTTTATATTTAGTAATCTTTTTTATTCTACTAAAACTTTTATCTTATTGTTTGTTAGGTTGACATCTATTCGTTTGATTTTTGTTCATTAAGTAAACTCGTGATTGTTTTTGATTTTTGTTCATTAAGTAAACTTGTGATTGTTTTATGTACCTAATTATCAATGGTTATTCCCATTTAAATAATTTTATCATCAATAATGAGGTAGTATATTTCAATCTAAATTAAAATACCAATTTAAACCTTACCTTCGTGCTATTTAAAACTCACTTCCAATTGTAGAATATTAGATGAGAGATTTGGATGGGATGTCACTAGCAGAAAATTAGGTCCTTCTTTTACAATCTTTTATCTACACATCTTAAACCCCTATTTATATCCACATACCTATATCTTCTTATATGCCTATGAGTTCCTATATACACCTGCACACACATTCACACGAAAAAACCATATGTATATTTCCATATTTACACATATACATCTGCAGAGAAATGCACATCCATATATCTCCATACATATCTCCACATACACTTATACTTACATATATACATATACACATAAGGACACCTGTATATCCATATACATCCATATACATACGCACATATATATTCACACATATATATGTATACACATATACACATACACACACATATGCATACATACATACACCCATACATATACATACACACACATACATGTATATACATACGCTATATGCAGCATATCTACATATATGCGTTAATTTGCACTTACACATATCTACACACGTACATGTCCCTATCCTTATTTCCACCCGTGCACCCACTTATGCCTGCGTTCGAAGACTATCTCAGTAATTAATTACATTATCCATATCTTTACACATATAATATTACCCGCTCTTTCATATTTATGGCAAAACATATAGGTACCTATCTAATTGTACACCTCCACACTCATAAAAAAAAAAAAAAAACAGGGTATGCTTCTTTTTCCATATAAAAACATATACATGTACATATCAACAGGTGTCTCAGTGTTCAAATACATTACCATAGTTGTATACATATAGTCATGTGTTAGCGTTCATGTGTGCATAGTAATATTTCTAAAAACAAAGGGAATACAAAACATTCAAAATTGCTCTTCCTATATGATTATTTCCCAATGTATTTGCTTAGGTTTAGGTTGTTTTTGTGCTGGCATTTAAAAACTAGTTCATTATGTCTATTTAGTAGTATGTCTGGATCTTTATGTTTGATTATGAAGATTTTCTCCTTTAAGCATAAGTCACATCTGTCTCTGAAGTTTTTGGGAGTTCTGGCTCTTGATATTATTTTCCACTTTATTTGTGGGGTTAGGCCACTCTCCAGTTAAATACATCTGTTGTATAAAGGTTTCAAAGGTTTGGTAGAGGACATTGCCAAACAAACAGCACCATAAAGAGCAAAGAGATCAGGGATAAAGTTGTAGATATGTATAATGCAGGCTTAGGTTACAAAAAACTATCCCATGTTTTGAACATTTCATAGTGCACTATTAAATCCATCATCTGAAAATGGAAAGAACATGGTACAACTGCAAAACTACCAAGACAATGCCATCCCACTAAAATGTCAGGCCAAACAAAGTGAGCTTTAATCAGAAAAGAAAACCAAGAGGATCATGGTAACTCTAGAGGGGCTGCAAAGATCCATATTTCAGGTAGAAGAATCTGTCCATAGGAAAACTCTTAGAGTGGCAAAAAGAAAGACATTGTTGAAAGAGAGCCATCAGAAGTCCTATTTGCAGACTGCCATATGAGAAATACAGCAAACATGTTGAGGAAGATGGTTTCTTCAGATAAGCCCAAAATTTAACTTTTGGGCCTTAATGTAAAATACTACATATGGTATCTATTTATCTATCTAGGAAGGGGTGCTGTAAATTTCTTGGCCTGACAAAACATTTTTCCAAAGCAAAATCTGATATTTGTCCATTTTTTGAGAAAAGGGTCTCTCCAACAAATACTTACTCACTTTCTTTCTTTCTTTCTTTCCGATCTGTTTCTATCTACCTATCTATCTATCTGTCTAAGTTTGTTCCTATCTATCTATCTATCTATCTATCTATCTATCTATCTATCTATCTATCTGTCTAAGTTTGTTCCTATCTATCTATCTATCTATCTATTGTGTGTAATTTATACTGTTTCTGTGTCCATATTTGCTGGCTACATCCATATATTTTAAGCATTGAAAATCAAGCAGAAGATATGAAACATGACAGTTGAAAAAAGATCTATCAAAGTTTGTGGAAAGCATATTCTCTAAGTAGACCATATTCCCTGTTTAAACCAATAGAATCACATATTAAAAAATATAGTTTCCACTGGAAGCCCTCTAACCAACAACAACTACATTCCCTGAAAAAGTAAGTCCCACTTCTTTGTTTATTTCTTAACTCAATGAAAAGGACACAGGCATGTCTGAAAATTCTGACTTTAATCAAAATTTTACACACATACACTCTCTTTGTCTATCTCTCTTTCTCTCTCTCTCTCTCTCTCTATATATATATATATATATATATATATAAAAAAAGGCTTAAACACTAATATTCCATGGTCATAGTTTATTCCATTGGAATTGTAAATATGATCCAATTCTGAACTCTCCAGTTAAATACACCTGTTGTATAAAGGTTTCAGAGGTTTGGTAGAGGACATTGCTAAACAAACAGCATCATAAAGAACAAAGAGATCAAGGAAAAAGTTGTGCATATGTATAATGCAGGCTTAGGTTACAAAAAACTATCCCATGTTTTGAACATTTCATAGTGCACTATTTAATCCATCATTCTCTTTGTGCTTCAATTTAGTCAAAAGGTTAGTATATAATAAATATTAGTCTTATTGTCAATATTGTTGTCATTTTGTTGGTGTCTTATTCCTCAAATTTTATTAATCAGTATATTACATATATATATATATAGAGAGAGAGAGAGAGAGAAAGAGAGAGAGAGAGAGAGAGAGGGAGAGATAGATAGATAATATTAATGGTTAATATACACTTACATATGCAATCATACATACATACATACATACACATACATATGTGTATATAAAATAATTCCAAGAGGATAGAATCCAGGTAGAACTCAATGTCCAGGACAGAGTAAGGATATAATAAAAAGGCTTAAACACTAATATTCCATGGTCATAATTTATTCCATTGGAATCATATATATGACAACCTACAAATTCAAAAAGAATTCTTTTTGAATTTGTAGGTCTGATGAATTGGATTGTATTTACGATTCCAATGGAATAAATTATTATTAGTGTTTAAGCCTTTTTTTATTATATATATATATATATATATATATATATATATATATATATATATATATATATATATATATATATATATATATATATATATATATATATACATATATATATATTTAGAGAGAAAGAGAGATAGAGAGAGTGTATGTGTGTAAAATTTTGTATATTTATGGGATACTCAGTATCATTTATATAGCCATTTGTAGATATAGACAGTATGGATATAGGAAACAGCACTGCACTGCATATTGACTTTGCACTTCAATGCAACCTTCTATATTTTCTTTAGTTCATTATAAGACTGAGGTTTTCTTGAAGGTCTGCAAGACATGTAGCCTAACAATGTGTTGACATGATATTAAAAATCTGAGTTATCATTTTCTTGCTGATTCCATTTTCCCTCATGATAACCATTATACTGCAACACATAGATTTTTTTATTATTATTCTTCATAGTTGTTTATAATCTTGATTGATTTCTGGTGTGGGATCTTTGCAATTGGAAAACCTTTAGTATCACATATTCTAAGTCTGGCTATACACAGGAATGCTTATGTTAAAGAATTTTCTGATTATTAAAGTATTTATACTGTGTGATGCAACCATTACATATGCACAGTAAATTCTCCTTTGATTGGTTGTCAAGTTACATCAAGACTCTACAACCAGTTGTTGAGATATTCATAATGGCTGAATATGTTCTGAACAGATCTCATGCCAAGAAGCCTCACAGTGGGAGATAGTTTGTGAGACATTTTCTTCTGGATGTCTGTCGACTTGTTGACACAAATTTATTCAGATATCAATCTGTTCATCCATTACATTAGAAGTGATTACAAATGAAAAAATTTGCACTTTATTACTTTTATTTATTCAATCATATACTTATATATCTGTTTATTATTGATTTGTATTCAGTTTGCCATCTGTTTTTAACTGTCATGTCCTTTGCTACTGTGTACTGAATTCAATCCACATTATATGTCCCATACATTATATATATATATATATATATAGATAGATAGATAGATAGAGAGAGAGAGAGAGAGAGAGAGAGAGAGAGAGAGATGGAATAGATGGAATAAAATTCTGATAACCAAAAAACACTATTTTTTTAAAAAGTGCTCAATACAAAGTATACAGTAAATAATATTTATTCAAAAATTATAGCATAGATATGTTATAACATCACCTTTTATTTAATCTTATTTTGCAATCACTTGATAAGACATCAGAAGTGTTGAAACAAAATGGCTATTTTTGTAGTGATGTTTATAACATGCTTATGTTATAATTTTTGAGGAAATTTATATATATATATTTTGAATAAATTTATGTATATGTTGATTTTCTAAGCATAGCTCAGATGTGACCCAAGGTCGAATGTATGGGCACCCAGTGAGAATCGAAGTGACTATTATGTCATAACTGTTTTAGCAAGACAAACTTGCTAACCATTACAGCATGCCAAGTTGACTATCTATCTATCTATCTATCTATCTATCTATCTATCTATCTATCTAAATAATGTGTGTGTGTGTATATATATATATATATATATATATATATATATATATATATATAATTATTTATTTAAAAATATGATTTCAACTCTTATGTAGCGTTGGAATCATATTTTTAAATAAATAATTATATTTATGCTCTACTTTTCTATCGAGCACTATTTTTAAAACGTTGGATTATTTACCTAATGAGTTCTTTCTTATTTTCTATATATTTTTACACACACACACACACACACACACACACACACACACACACATATATACATATACATATATATATATATATATATATATATATTACATTTGTGTATTTTGGCAAATTTAGGTCTTTATGCGCTCAACCATGACATTCCAATATAAAAGAAATTCCATAATGGATAACTATTCACATTCTAATGAACACTAAAGCATAACTGTCAGCTATAGCATTTAAAGGCAAAAGAAAAATTCAATAATGGATAGCTACACATAGTTTTTGCCTTACTAGTTGCATCCCTTATGATGATCTGAGAAAGAGATGGAAAGTACTTCAGAAATAAAAATGATTCTCACTGTGACAGAGCATTTCTTGCCTTATTTAATATGGAAAAATATTTGTGAATATGAAAGGATTATGATAAAAATAAGCAGATATAATGTTTGTAATTTATTCAATATATATGTGTGTGTGTGTGTGTGTGTGTATTCATTTTACCAAAAACAACGCAATAAAACTGCTAAAATGGAAGGGGCTTACTGAATATTAAAGAATATGAGAAAAATATACTATTAAGGAGAGAGAACAAGAAAAGAACAAGAAGAAAACAGAAGATAATGACTGACATTGCATTTAAATTTTTGAAGATCAAACTTAACTTGGAAACAAGAAGCTTGAAGTGAGTTCCACAAGCAAGGACTGAGAAGTATAAGAGAAGAAACTGTTAGCATAGGACTTACGGTTGCATCTAATCATTTCAGCTTTAAAATTATGAGACCTAGCCAGTAATTCAGTACTGCAGTACTCATGCTGGGGAGCATTTGGGCAATGGTCTTGATTTGATATTAAAGATGCATTCTTCTCTCTCTCATCTTCTCTTGGCCAGTGATTGCTAATTGGTTTGGGTTCAGAAATGAAAGACATCAACAAAAGTAATTTTAACTTAGCTAGTTTATTAATGTCAACATATACATCCAACTAGCCAGTGGGGTCACTCTTGCCCTTTACTGATGAGCAGTTTCCAGACATGAAAGTCAACACGTCTATATTGCTTGACATGTAAGAACCAGCTCCCTGAAAACCCTCTCTCTATCTATCGTTCTCACATTTGTTCAGCCAATCAAAATCGACTTCCTCATTTTGTCTTCTATTTGATCCCTAAGGTCAACCACAGGAAGTGGAAGCAGCAATACACTTTCTCTAACAGTAATAATCCAGTAAACTGTTATTTAACATTGCACTTAAATTCATAAAATCTAAATAACATAAAGGAAAGCTCTTCAGAATAATTACCATGAAAGTATTTATAGAAAAGGCACAGGGTAGCTATGTTTAAGGTGGTGGGAAAGTATATATATATTCGACCCTCCCATCAAATTTGATGTATGAGGGTCAAGCGGTTCAGTTCCTAGGAACCGACAGCCCAACACCAGCACATAGGCTTTGATTATAGTGGTGAAGGTTTTGTGCAGAATCATTCACACTTTTTGAAGGGCCACAAGGTCCCCAAATGACCCTGCTCAGATTTTGAATTCAGAGTTGTCCTTCTCCTAGACCAGTTGCTATCCAAGGCTATAGAACCCAGTCTGTCCTGCTATTTACCCATAACTGGAGGAAGAAGAGGATTAATACCTTTCCCAAGGGTATTACCCCGTAAGTGAAGGTAATGGATTCAACTGGAATTCAAACTTGGCTCTCTGATTCCTCAAACCAAGCTGCTATCCATCACTCCACTGTGCCTATATATATATATATATATATATATATATATATATATATATATATATTTCTAAAATGTCTTTGCTTAAACTCTAATTTTTATTTACTATTTATTTTTTTCCTCAAATGGAGGACAGGTTTGCATATTGTCCAGTTCACATTCCCTAACCCCCCCCATTCTTTTGAACAGGATTAGAGTTTTATCCCCTGTTTCCTGTTTAGGATATGGTTTCTGGTTCATTTTTTTAAATACGAATATAATTCTAATATATTAATTTGTAAAAAATATCATATAGTCTATTAGTTATTACAAGTGGAAAGGTACTTTAAATTTGTAGGAATAGATTTTCCCACCTTCACCTGATTTTGAAAGTTACTTATATTTAATACATAATTTATTAGGGAAATTAAAACCCAACCACCCCTTATGAAAATCATTGAACTTTCTGTAACCTTAAGAATTTAAAATATTAAGATTGTCTGTGCTTATAAATGAAGTAAATTTCTAAATAGGTTATTCCAAAAATCACTTGAGAGTGGAACAGAGCTATGGATTTTAAATTTAATCTTATAATTAAATTTAAGATTTTAATTTCTGTTTTGAAACATGGTAATTCCTGTGTAGCGACAGAAACATTTTTAAAATAGAAAATAATTATAATATATATATATAATAATTATTTTCTATTTTAAAAAATATGGTTCCATCATTACACATAAAAATAAATAGATATATCTAGATAATTCAACCAAACATGCTTTATCTATCTATCTATATATATATATATATATATATATATATATATATATATATATATATATTCAAGCATGTTTCGTTGAATTATCTAGACATATCAATTTATTTTTAATTTATATGTCTAAGTAAAAACAAGAGTCATTTTATATCTACTAAATTCAATGTTGTTTTCTTTAATGTATAAATATCCTTTAGTGCTGGCCAAAATTCATGTTCTGTAATCCAAATCCAAATGATACTTTTAAATAATAAGGAAGCAATCCTAAACACACTTAATGTTTTTTCTCACTCCACTCATACGTCACTGATGATGAAGACTCAGGTGTGAGCTGAAAGATTAAAAGCAAATAACATCACTTTGGGTCATTTTATACACACAACAAACACATTTCTAAAATGATATTAGAAAAACAGAAGACAGATCATTAAATCATTATAGATTTTGTTCTTGTTTTTACTTCTCGGTAATAAGATTTGTTTTTTGTATGAATGATTCATGAATTTATAAATTATAATTGCACCTTTAATTGAAATTAAAATAACTGATCCAACGTGCAACTTTCGGATAATAAGTGTGACATTACTGTAATTATTGAACAATATAGTTCATGCCACATTGACGGAAAACCTACCAGTAAAAAAGAATTCTCTTATTACTATATTTGTACAAAAACGCACAACCTTAAAATTTAAATTCAAACTCAGCGTTGCAACCGCACGTTCCAAAATAATAACACATTTCTCATGGCATTTTTTCGGATGACATCTCTATTTTTGTTGTCCTCTTATTACCGAGAAGTAAAAACAAAAACAAAATCTCTTTCCATACCTGAGGATGTCTGTAGGAACAGACGAAAGCTTGTAAAAAATTAAAAAGACCTTATGCAACTGGAATTTATAAATATCATTCATATACAGGTTCGGGGTTAGTGTATCTTATTGAAATTGTTTGCGAAGATGCATTCTCGCCATTTAAATCATTTACCTCTATATTTGTTTTTAGTATGAATGATTCATGAATTTATAAATTATAATTGCAATTTTTAATTGAAAAATATATATATATATATATATATATATATATATATATATATATATAGAGAGAGAGAGAGAGAGAGAGAGAGGCCGGCTACTCTCATTTTCCGGGAACATGTCTGCTAGGGCAGGAAGCCAATCCCTTTCATAGACATCTGCTCAGGCAAATCTATGTTTTTCCAACACCCGCCAAAGGATCTTAGTTACAGTTTCTGGGAGAGAAAACGTAATCTGTCATGATCAGCAATTTGAACAACGGCATTAGGCTCAAACACACGGTCATGATGATTTTGTGCTAGCGCAACCATCGAAGTTTTACCACCAGTTCAGTCTGCCCAGTTTCACTCACATGGCTTGGATCAACCCGTGGTTAGGCTTTCAGACAATTTCCAGAGGTGCTGTCAATGCCTTCCCAGACCGATGACATGAAGAAGTTATCTTCCTGGTAAATTGATCATGGTGAGATTCAAAACCAGGTCTGATTGTTGGAAAGCAAACATGCTAACCACTCAGCCACATGCCCATATATATATATATATATATATATATATATATATATATATATATATATATATTGAGTTCTTGATATTAAAACATCAACTTCGATGGATGGGCCACCTCGTCAGAATGGATGACAGCCGTATTCCAAAGTAATTTTTTGATGGTGAGCCCCGAACATGGAAGAGAAAGGCCGTCAAACCTAAGATGTGCTTTAAGGACTGCATCAGCATTCCTTGTGAGAAGAATGTGCATCTGATCACAATAATTGGAATGAATCTGCTCGGAGTGGAAGGTGTCATTTTGAAGGGGAGAAGAGGAGTCATGCGAGGCTAAAAAGAGATGTGCGTAAAGGTGTCCCCATTGGGTTTCCTGAAGACACCTACAGGCAGCTTGATCTGATGTGGTAAAGTGTGTTTGTCGATGGCTGGTCTAAGGAGTCACTTGAGAGCACACCGACGGGAGGTGGCAATTGACTATAAACCGTAGATGTCCAGTAACTGAAATGTGATTTTGCCGTAAGCGGTTTCATGCCACATTTTAAATTGCATGATAAAGTAACACCCGCCGTTGCACCTCTTAAGTGCCCTATTTGTGCCAGAGTATGTAGGTCCCTTACTGGGCTAAAGAGCCACATTCGTTCAGCACATAAGTATTCTCCAAAAAGATATGTAGTAATGGCCATACTCGGACACGAGATGGCAGCCACCATATATATATAGATTATAGAAAGTGTTAGACTTTGAGCAAGTATATATTTTGATAGGAGAAATCCTGAAAAAATCAGGAAAGAGGAA